CTCTCTCTTTTTCTCTCTCTCTCTCTCTCTCTCTCTCTCTCTCTCTCTCTCTGTCTAGATTCCAGAGAGTCAGGAAACTTGTGCTTCTGCTTCCGCTGGCTTCTCATCTGGTTTAAGCGAGAGTTCTCGTTCCCGGATATACTACGGCTCTGGGAGGTGAGTGCTGTCTGCCTGCATCTATTACATTTATAAAATGTGACTAGCTATGTGGAAAATCATCACGTTCTGCCGTAATCAGCCATAATTTTATTGACCAACTGAGTAGGCTTAAGGGGCTGAATGGCCTCCTCTTCCTCCTATTTTGTTTGTGTCATGATTATATTAGTTCAAGGCTGTCTTTAAATGACAGAGATATTCTAAAATTTTAATGAGATTGCACATATATGATGATCATTATCAAATTTCAAAGCTCTTCTGCTGTTTCCCACTGTATTGGATACTCCCCCGGGAGCAGGGCTTCACATAAATTCTTACCATTAGTGACACTTAACGAGGGACAATGGGCATCATAATGCTGGAACGGATCTTAAAGGAAACAGTCAAGAGGTGAGGAGTTTATAGTAAGGGCATAAGCCATACCAGTGCCACAGGCCAAGGTGTGGTCGACCAGTACATCAGTGTTGCAGGGAGGGATGGACTGTGCCAAAACACCCCAGAGAAGGGGTGAGAGCTGTGCTGTTCACTCCTTGAACCTGTTTCTGTGTTGAGTTTGTAGCATCTGCTGAGTTCTGTTCTCGCCACCAGGTGCTGTGGACGGGCCTGCCATGCCCAAATTTCCACCTACTGGTCTGTTGTGCCATCCTGGACTCTGAGCGCGATGCTCTGATGAACCCCAACTACGGCTTCAATGAGATACTCAAGGTAAAAATAAATCGGTCAGAAAGTTGTGAAATTGCTTTCACTTAAAATTGCATTTCCAGCTTTGCATTTGATCTCTCACTGTTGACCCAGTGAGCAGAGCACTCTGTCATCACCCCTTCAGGCTTCTCTTATTGAAGTCCCTTTCCTGTATATCCTAAGGTGATAGTTGCTACCAATGCAAACTCAGCAATAACAGATCCGAAACTGACCCACAATGGAAGTTTGAAGACCATGTTCAGTGCCGTGTAAATGGGTAAATGTTGCAGAAGCTTCAGTTCCACGCTGTGGGAGAGGTGTCTGTCTGTGTGTGTGTGAAAACCACGGCTAGTGTGTAGGTTGACAAGACGTAGCAATTAGTGTGCTATGGAGACCACTGCTGGGACAACAACTATCTGCAATTGATGTAACTGACTTAGGTGAAGGGACACAGAAATTGTTGCCAGATTTGTTGACTTCACAAAGATAGGTGGGAAAGTAAGTTGTGAAGAGGACATAAGGATACCACAGATTCAGTGAGTGGGCAAAGATCTGGGCAAATGGGGGTTTGATGGAGGAAAATGTGAAATTGTCTGTTTTGGCAGGATAAAAGAAAAAAGAGCACGTTATTTAAACAGTGACTGTTTGTAGAGTTCTGGATACAGAGGCATCTGTGTGTCCTTTTGTACACAAATCTCAAACGGTTAATCTGCAAGAACACCAAGTAATTAGGGAAGTTTACAAACTGTTACTTATCCTGAGTGCAATTGAAAACAAAAGTATGGAGTTCGTTCTTCAGTTATACATGGCACTGTTGGGGCAACATCTGAAGTACTTGCACAGTATTGGCCATCTTATTTAAGAGAGAATGCAAATACATCGGAGGGAATTCAGAAGTTTTATCAGATTAATAGTGGGAACGGCAGGTTGTCTTATGAGGAAATGTTGGTTTCTTGAGAGGCTAGAAGCAGTGAGGATATTTCCTCTTATTGTTGAATATAGAATTAAGGGTTCCTGAGATCACCCCTGTAATATAGAGATGAGGTGAAAGTTTGTCTGAAAGTTACGAGTCTTTGGAATTTTTCCTATTAAGGTGGTGGAGGCAGACATTGAATATTTTGTAAGGCGTGGATAAATAGATTCTTGTTAAGCAAGGGGGTGAAACATAATTGGACTAAGCAGGAATGGAGGCTTGAGGTTGCAATCCGATCAGCTGTGTTCTTACTGAATGGCAAAGCAGGCTCAAAGGATTGAGTAGATTACTCCAGCTCCTAATTTGTACCTTTAGTTGCTAACTACACATGCATTCTTCCTACTTTGCATCAAGTAATACTGTTGGTTGACTTTTCCCAGTGTGCTCAAGTCTGTCCTTTGTTAGTTGGGGCACTGAAAGATGCTGTCACCTCACTGCCAGGTCTCTGCTATTGCCCTTGTGTTCCGGGCAGTAAATATACTTTCTTCTTTTGCCTCCCACCCTCCCTATTAGCCAGCTTAAGCACTCCAGTTCTGAGATCTGAGCTCCTGTCTTGTTCTCTTGCAGCACATCAACGAGCTGACCATGAGGTTGAACGTGGAGGACGTGCTGTGCAAAGCCGAAGCCATCTACCTCCAGCTAGCAGCCTGTCCGGTGAGTGTGCACGCGCCCCCCCCCCCCCCCTCCCCAGTACCTTGCTGTGGCCCTGTAGCTGTGGTGCTGATTGACAGCATTCCCTTGCTGTGGGACATCTCCCTGCACATCAATTCTGTAAATCCAAGCAGCAGAGGGAAACTCGATGTTTCCCTATCTCCAGTCGGGATAGAAAGGCTCCTTTTATTGTGCTGAACAAAATCTAGGGAGGGGAGGATGCTAACAATGAGGGTGATTTTATTACCCCAGGTTCTTGGGGCAGTGCTTAAACTATTGAGGTATTTTTAATTTTTAAATTTTCAGGATGCTGGAATCATAGCGAGGTATGAAACAGACTCTTTGATCCAGATATCCTAAATTAATCTAGTCCTGTTTGTCAGGATTTAGCCCGTATCCCTCTAAACCCTTCCTATTCATCTACCCATTCAGATACCTCTTAAATGTTGTAATTGTACCAGCCTCAACCACTTCTTCTAGCAGTTCATTCCATACACACACCACCCTCTGCGTGAAAAAGTTGACCCTTAGTCCCTTTTTAAATCTTCCTCCACTCACTTTAAACCTATGCCACCTAGTTTTGGACTCCCCTACCCTGGGGAAAAGACTTTGGCTATTCACCCTATCCATGCCACTCGTGATTTTGTAAATTTCTATAAGGTCTCAAGGCAGACATGTTACCCAAACCTAACTGCCCTTGAGCTGAGAGGATTACTGAGCTATTTCAGGAGGTAAATAAGAGTTAACCACACTACTGTGGATCTGGAGACCACACTGGGTAAGGACAGTAGATTTCCCACCCCAAAGAACATTAGGGAACCAGATGGATTTTTACAACAATGGTCATGGTCACTAGTGCTGAGATTTGCTTTTATTTCCAGATTCTTTTCAAGAATAAATTGAATTTTTGATAATTGAATTTAAATTTCACCAGATGCTGTGGTGGGATTTGAACCTATGATCCTCAGCACATCCAGCCTAGGTTTCTGAATTGCTATTCCAGTGACATTCCAACAATGTCACCAGCCTGAAAATAGCTGAGCTAAGCAATGGAAACTGAGGCAGAAACTTTTTTAAAAAAAAAAGTTAAATTAATAAGAGAAGTTTTGGGGGAAAAAAAGGATTTCTAAATGTTGAAATTGAAAATTAAAATATACTGGAAATTAACAGCAAGCCCATTAATCTCAAAGTCACAGTATCTTTAAGGTGAGAGGGGAGAGATACAAAAAGGGTGAAGAGGGGCAATTTTTTCAGAGGGTGGTGAGTGACTGGAATGGGGTGCCAGAAGTGATGGTGGAAGCTAGTACAATTTCATCATTCAAGAAACATTTAGACAGGTACATGGAAGGGATTAGTATGGAAGGAAATGGACCAAATGCAGGCAAATGGGACTAGCTTTAATTGTGAAAACTGGGCATGGGCAAGTTGAGCCGAAGGGCCTGTTTCCATGCTGCAGACTTCAATGACTCTGTCTTGGGACTGCATGCTAATTGCTGAGAAGAGATGGGTTTGGGGAGATGATTGAAGTGGTGAATGGGCTGCAGATATGGAAAGGTACGATGGGGAGCGGAGGGTTAGAATACCACTAGGTGCGAAATGCACAGTCACCTCCCTGGTGAAAACAGACCACAGATGTGGAGAGCTGATCATTGTGTTTCCTCTGTTTGAACAGCAGCTACAACGGAGCGTGCAACAGATCCTGGGCCTAGTGGAGGACGCTACCCCCACCGCCAGCACTAGCTCTGGCACTGGCAGCTCCCCTCAAGCCCTATCCCCCAGCCAAACGCACGAGTCGGAGCTTACAGACAGTGCCTCCCACAGCCTGCCCGACAGTAGCATCGAGATTTTACACACTGAGGACGGTGCCATTGAGTCTGGTCAAAGCCCATAAGTGCTGGGGTCAAGTGGCAGGGCTGTTATTGGGAAGGGGGGTTACCAAAATCTCAAAGGACATTTAAACACTTTGAACAAAGCCTTGAGCAAGAGCTTAAATGTGGCAGCAGCTTTGGAAATGAGACAAAATTCATCCATTTAATCCTGTAAAAATGGGCAATATCCTTTCTTCACTGACTGAGCTTTGATCTGGACGGTTCTAATTGAGCATAACATTTGCTTCAATTCCCAATTCCTGTTCGAATTCTGAAAGAAGCTGAAAAATCATTGGGAACTGGCTGCTGCTTTCAGTTTAGAACGAGTATTGTGACATTGTAGAGTTCTGATTTATTTTTTTGTTTAAAAAACATTATTTTTTCAAAGAAATTAAACATGAAGTCCTTTCAAATTAAGAGGGAGTTTGGTTTATTGGCAAGGGAGGCAGTAAATGAGATGTGGGGACCAACTCCTGCCATCTGCCCCTCTGGCTTTGTTTGTCATCTAAACAAAATCAAATGCTTCTCTTTTCATCAAAGGTGTGATCACCAGTGTTAAGGGAAGGATTCAGTTGCAGCTCGATGGTAGGCCAAGCAGAAATGTTCAGCATGGCCCATTGAACATGTGACAGTGCAATACTGTATTTCAATCAACCGGGCTCCAAAGCATTGGACTTCAGCCATGATGTTATTTTTTATGTTTGCCTGAATCTCCAAAGCCTGTAGTCAGTCAGTGCCTCCCCTAACCGTCCTTCCGATGTGGCCAAACTTTCCTTCAGTTTGGTGTTTGTCTTTATTCAGCACACAGCCTATTTCTGGGTTACCATTGATCAAACTGAGGGCATCCAAACCTGGCTGGGTGATTCAGTTGTCCGTCTGGATGCAGCAAACCATCTGTCAGTGATTTTCGGCTGGTCAGGGATCACCTTGAGCTGGTGAACTGAGAGCAATGTGCCACATCAAATGGCGTTTTCTGAGCAGCAGACCTTATGCAGCCACAACTGCTGACGTTAATTTTTATTACTCTGCCGTGAGAGCAATAGTGTGATTGGATCACCCTGAAACGTCAGTACAAATCCCCGTAATCCCGTTTCCTACAAGGCCTGTGCTTGATTTGGTGGATTTGAACCCAATGGCCCTGCCAAGTATGAAACGAAGGGACCAAGACTGTCACTGCAAAGGAAATAGTGATTTTTTTTTTTGTCTGTTTGTTCTATTTTAAGAAAATACTTGCCAACTCTTGCACAATTAAATTTATTTATTTCCCAGAGAGGCATAACCCTGTGAGAAGTGGGTTGCAGATCTGTAAGACAGTGCAACGCATGGTAGCTACCTTGCACTGTGTGGGTCATTGACTTTATTCTGTGTAACCACAACTGTGTTCTTCAGAGCTGCTGGCGATCTGGGGAAATAGAAACTCAGTCATTCAGCTAGTCAGCAATAATGAGGGAAGCACAGCCTGTCCATTTTACAGGGCGGGGAGTAGATGTTGGTGGAGGAGCGGGGGTGGGATTCGGGATTAACAGCTAGGGCAGAGAGGACAAGAATACACTTAGTTTTGTGCCAGATGGGGTGAAAAAGTGTGTGTGTGAAGAGAGCGCTGCTGGAGGAGAGCTGGTTAATACCAGACTTTGCCGCTCATTCAGTGGTGTAGTCTATGCAACTCGTGAAGCAATAACCTTATCTTGTATCGCCAATGCCCCAATCCTGTTCCCTCCCGGTTCTGGGACTGGCAAGTGTGTTTCAAGCTCCCACATTCCACTTTGAGATATAAAGGATTGGCACCCACCCATGCACAGAAGTGGTCACAGAGGTTGTCGATATGGCTCAATTGCCAAGACTTTTTCACTTTATTCCGACAAGTGAGTTTTCAAAAACTCCTTCTTCGTATATCCCAAAGCTGACTTTCCAGGGTTGTACTGATAGACCACCACTCTGCCAGAGGTGCTGCCTTTCTTTCTGACTGTGGGATTAAGCTGAGGCACCTTTGGTCCATTCTGATACATTGCACGTGTTATTCAATGACATTCACTTAAAAGCAAGTGAATGTTCCTAATGTCGTAACCAACATTTGTGCCTAAAGCTAATGGCACGCAATGCAGATTAACCAGTTGTCCATCTGATAAATCTTGTTAATATACAAAGTTAATTTATGTGTTAGACTCCACTTTAAAGTAATTAAGTGCTTTGAGGTATTTTCAGTAATATGCTTACATTTTCTAGTAAGATTTTTTCAGTTAAGCCAGTAAGTTTTCATTTGAATCCTTAAAACACCCTCCAAATTGCTTTTGCCAAGGGGAAGCACAAAATTATTATATCCAAGGTTCATTTTGTGCCTGTATTTTAAATAATATGTGACTTTAATTTATCTAAAAATTGGTCAGAGGGTTTTCTTTAGTAGTCACTAGTTATGTGTTTAAAAAAATTTATAAATCAATGTAATCAGAAAATCTATTTGAATGTGTGCTATAAATTGACTTTCTGTTGTGCTATTCAGTTAGAATGGTGAAATGTTACTGATGTAGCTTGCAAATTACGCTTGACCTAGGTAGGATGTACAGTGTAATGTCTCCCTTCCCCATTCTTCTGCACGTTTATCTTCTTTGACCCAGCTTGCTTTAAACAAAACATATATTCCAGACCATTCAATTCTCTTGCTGGTGTATCTGCCCCCAGCACAGAGAGTTCCCACAATGTTTGCAAAGAAGTTGAGTAAATTACCTCCGTCTCACAGTTCTTCAACAGGACCCAATGTGTATTCTTTGGACAGTATAGAAGGGAGGTTTACTCTGTATCTAACCCATGCTGTACCTGCCTTGGGAGTAACCAACACTGGATAGGGTGCCTGAAGGAGAAAGTTTTATTCTCTGCTTCAGCAATGTTGCTGTGACTAACAAAACAAAAATTTAAACAGATACTGACAGTAATCAGCAATGTTGTATTTTTATTGCATCAGCAAACAATAGCATGGGTCTGACTCAAGCCCTGTAAACTCAGCTTTATGAGGAAGCTGAAATTTTACAATTGGTGAGGTAATCCTCTGTGCTGACTTCAATACCACGCCCACAGACATCATCCAAAAATGACCCATCCATTATTATCTCGCAGGGGAGCGATCAGATCTTGGCAGCTGCTTAAGGGCTTAAGGTAATGTTGTGGAGGCCTCAGGCAAGCTGAACTCTGTAACCTGCTGCACACACAAAGCTGTTTAACCCAGGCTCAAGTTAGCAAAGGGTTAATTCTCTTTTTGAGGTCTAATGTCACTGAATCCAAGCAGAGTGATGTTGGGTGGAAAGTTCAGCGGTTGTGCAGTGATCAAAACCAGATTTTCGAGATGCTTTGTGGCAAGTAAAGCCAATTATAAAGTATAAATATATCTTTGCCCGCTCCACCATACCATTAATAGCCAATCCCCTGGTATGATTGACAGTAAGCCTCATGCTGTGTCTTTTAAGTACTGAACTATTTTTCCCTGCAGCCTCTGATTTTTAACATAATTCCTGCTCCAACGAGAAGGTACATTTGAAGCAGTTTTCACCTTTAAGCAGACAAGGTCCTTGTTTAGCCAGTGGGCATCACAAACTGTTAGAAGGTAGGAGCAGGAGGAGGCCATTCACCCCCTCTAATGTTTCAGCTTCCAATAAAACACCTATTCCATAACCCCCAAAACTTGTGCCCAACCAAAATATGTTGACCCTTTTCCTCTGTGAAATGTTCAATTGAACCTTGTTCCTCATCCTCCCCACCCAGTTGTTTTGAGGGTTGGGGGGGGAGAAAGTTCACATTTCCTCAAGTTTTTAAATGGAGAAGTGTTTCCTGATTTGTTACAGAGAAGATCACAAGTTTGAAGGCCTCGCTCATAATGAGGCAGTTTGAATTGAATGCTGCAAAGCACAGACTCATTCTCCACAGAAGATGGTATTCAGTTCATGCCTGTACAGCCTCTTTGAAAGAGTTTTCCAATGGCTCCCACTCTTCTAGCTCTTTCCTGTCGAGTAGAAATGACAGAAGGAATTCAGAGCATTTGCAGTCAGCTGGGCCCAGTGGACTGTGTGATATCAATAATATTAATTCCAGGATATGGAGCAAACGAAACAAAGTACCTCCCAGCAGCTCTGAGTGCTGTTATCCAAACACTCCCTGGTTGATCAAAGGCATTTTGCTTTGCATTATGTTTGTGAATAAGATGCTCAACATTCATGAGCAGACAAATCTTCATTATGGAGCAGAATCTGGCCCCCCAATCCCAGGAACTCACTCACACAGTGCTCCCACATGGAGCTTGCTTTGCTCAAAGTGGGATTCTTGCTCCCTGCAAGGACACAGCTCTGTTTGTCACATTAGGCAGGATTCACCAATCAGAAAGTTCCTGCCTTGTCTACATGACAGCGGAGTAATAAGAGGCAAGGAATGTCCTTTGACTCTAATGAAGCGTGTTGGGTGTTGTTTCAATGTAAATGGCATTCCAATATAGTTTTATCTTTTCTGAACAACATCTTTTTTTTATGGCCAGCTCTGATGAATGAGGCGATGATGCCTTTAGCAACATGCACTGCGATTAAACAATGTCATTTTGGCTGCCGGTTGCCTAAACGTGTCTGGATGGCAGCTGTGGCGCTAGAACTCCGTGATGGAGCCTCCCCCACTCCCGCCTTGCTGCTAGCCACATCCCTCACTGTACAGCTCACTTAGCGTCTAGAGCAATGAGTGAGTGAGACATTGGCTGATGCAGCTAGGACTCTTTTCTGAGTGTCCCTCTGAGTCAATGCATTTGTAATTCATTTCAGAGCACCTCTTGCATGGGTGCTTGAGTACTGCAAATTTAACAAAGTCTATGCACCAACATATTAGTTACGTTATTGGGTACCTCAAGCCAGCACTTGCAAGTTTGGCTGAAAAGCAGTATTTCCACACCGGTACGGTCACTGCCCCCCAACTAGTGGTGACGTTGGCAATAAACGCAGCACTGTTTCATTCACCTAAACCCCAGTGCACATTCTTCCCATTAGAATTCATCCTTTTATACAGCAACAATATATACTGAAAAAGATATGTAACCTATATCAGCTCCTCCCAACATGTCTGATGCCTACTGCACTGGCAGGACATGTGCAGCTGTATTGAAGGTCGGCCTCCCCTGGTAGCGGTGATGTATTCCTGCAGGAATACAATGATTGATTAGCATCCTCCTATTCTCCACCCCTCCCTGATACAGTGGTACACAGCAGTGGCTAAGGGCCAGTGGGCTACAGCGTAAAATGTGCAGTATCTGATCAGTAATGGATTCTGTGAAGCAAGGCCTGTTGTGAACTGTATTGTATACCGCCTGGTGCTGTGCTATAAGGTTCACTTCTGTCTTGAAACTTCTTGTGTGATTCTAAAATGTATGACTGTAATTTGCTGTATTAAAATACTGACCCAATCACTACCACAGGTAGATGCTATGTTTTTTTTCCTCTGTCTCTACTTTGTATCTTGCACTTTTTAAAAAATGATTTTATTTGCAGGTGGAAATTTCTTTCATTTGCATGCTTTCTGCTGTCTCATTCCCTGAGGTGAGAGATTGCACACTTAATTAATCTTCTACATTCACATCTCCCTCACACTCTCTCAAACGCATTCTCATGTGCACGCTCTGACTCATGTATATACAGAAGGCGCTCATTTGGATCATTGTGTCCATCCTAATTAACAAAGCTCTGCTGACACTTTTCCAGCTCTCGGCCCTTAGCCTTTGGAGCTAAGGCAACACCTGAGTACCGTTTAAATGGTACAAGTTTTTGGTTCAGCCAACATTTCTGGCAGTACGTTCCAGATTCCCATGACCCTTTGAGAAAAAGTTCTCATCTATCCCCTTAGCTGCTTTACCTCTTTAAATCTATGCACACCGAGGTCCCTCTGATCTTTAATAAAACTTGAAAGAACTATAGATGCTGTAAATCAGAAACAAAGCAGAAGTTGCTGGAAAAGCTCTGAGCAGGGGTCACTGAACCCGATCTCTGATTAACTCTGATTTCTCTTTTCAGCAGATCTGGCAGCATCTGTACTTTTCTAGCAACTTCTGTTTTCGTTTCCTCTGATCTCTAGTACTTCCTAGGGGCCTATTTTCTAGGCATTGTGAAATCCCTTGCATTTTTAACTCTCCTCAAGTTCATTACATTACACTTTTCTGATTTGAATTCTGTTTGCCATTGTTCTATCCACCTGTCAATATTGTTCTGCAATTTAGGGCTACCCTTCCACACAAATTAGCACTCTACACATTTTGTGACATCCACAAATGTCTTGACCGTAACCTCCATGTTTAAGTCCAAATTGTTAATCTCCACCACAAGTAAGGACCCCAGGACCAAGACCTGTGGAACCCCAGTGGAAACAGCAGTCATGGAAACATCCCTCTGCCTCCTGCCTGTCAGCCCATTTTGTTTCCAATGTGCCAATTCTGCTTTGATCCAATGGGATTTTACTTTCTTAACCAGTCTGCTGAGGGATAACTTCTCGAGAGCTTTGCTAAAATCCATGTAGGCCACATTAAATGCATTGCCCTCATTAACACTCAACAGTTATTTTCTCAAAACATTGACCAAATTTGTCAAACACAACCTTCCCTTAACTAACTAACTGCTGACTAATATTGATTAATCCCTGAAGGTCCTGTTCCTGTTTAGGCGTAAACTGTCCAGTTTGTACAAGTCACACCTTCCCAAGAAAGAGTCCCAGTGCCTCAGAAAGATAAAGCAGTCTCTTTTGTACCATCTCTCCAGCCACGTGTTCATCTCCTCTATCCTTCTATTCCTATACTCGGAACATGTGGCACTGGGAATAATCCAGAAATGACAAACTACCTTTGTAGCCCTACTTTTTGATTTTGTACTTAAATGCTGAAAGCCTGCTTACAGGACCTAATTTCCCTTTCTTCCTATAGCCTTGGTCCCAATTAGACCCCTGATGTTCATGCTGCCCCTTTAAAATGCTCTGTAGCGCTTCTGTGACACCTTTGACATCTGGGAGAGAAAATACCATCATGCAGTCACCTCCAAGACTGCATTAGTGCCAGGCTGCTCTCCTCACCAATAAATCCCCTAGCACTATTGCCTTTCCACACGACACTACCTCCCCTATAACTCCCCTCCCCACTCCCTCCAACCCGCGCAGCTGGAGAACCCATAGTGCAAAGGCCTTGGCTGTCACCTTCCATACAGAAACTTGTCAATCTTATCGTTTTCCAAGGTTGGAAAATTTTGTTTGCAAGTGAGATGCACCCGGGATTCCTGCCCTACCTCCCTGGTCCCACAGTTCCCTAAGCTTCAGCGTGACCATAATCCTTGAAACATCTAATCCACAAATCTCTCAGCCTTGTAAATATACTACTATGCTCCTATCTGGTACCAAGTTCTGAAACCTTGAGCTTCAGTTACTCGAGGTAAAGGCTGTTCAGCCCATTGAGTCTGTACCAACCCTCCAGAAGATCATCCCGTTCCCTACCCTACCCTATCCCTGTAACCCCACAGCTAACCCACCTAGCCTGCAAACCCTGGAGTAACTTAGCATAGCCAATCCACCCTAACCTGCACATATTTGGACTGTGGGAGGAAGCAGGGGCCCCCAGAGGAAACCCACACAGACACGGGGAGAACAAGCAAACTCCACACACAGTCACCCAAGGCTGGGATCGAACCCATGTCCCCCATACTGTGAGGCAGTATTGCTAACTACTGAACCACTGTGCCACCCTGATCAGTCACTGCTTTCCACCAATGGCAGAATGACTGTGAAAATAATGTGGAGGCCTGAACCCATCGTTATCAGGAGAGAAGACTCAAGCTCCAAATCCAGGGTGTAAGTTCCATAGGTATTTATGGTTGAAAACGAGAGTGGGTTTTCACAGACAATGCTGAGACTGATGGTTTCTAAGCTCCAGGCTCTTCAAAGAGGAAAAGTTACTGAGCGAAATCATTAATGGGAATAATTTGTTGGGGCAGTGAAGCTGGTTGAGAACTGGTATTTCTTTTGAAACGCCAGCAACAACTTGCATTTATATAGCCCTGTGAGCGTAGTCAGTCATCCCAAAGGATTTCATAGGAGAGTTGTCAAACAGTTTGAAACAAACCACCTGAGGAGACATTGGAAGAGGTAACTGAAAGCTTCTGGAAGGAGGCTTGGGGAGAGGGAGATGGGTGTAGAAGGCCAGGGAGGGAATTCCAGTGTTTAGGGCCTAGGCAGTGGAAAATGTTATGGACCAGACCAGATGCACTCAAAATATATTAAGAAGGTAGCCTAGACCCTAACTTTTTCTCATTTAAAGGTAAATGTTAGGTGCTGTGTTCCAGATGCAATTTGACTGGTCAAACTGGTTGACATTAAACAGGGTGGCATGGTGGCTCAGTGGTTAGTGCTGCTGTCTCTCAGCACCAGGGGCCCGGGTTCAATTCCCCATCGGGCAACTGTCTGTGTGGGGTTTGCACATTCTCCTCGTGCAGTCTAGGTGAATTGGTCATGCTAAATTGCCCGTAGTGTTCAGGTAGTGTAGATTAGGTGGGTTTGGGGAATAGGTCTGGGTAGGATGCTCTAAGGGTCAGTGTGGACTTGTTGGGTCAAAGGGCCTGTTCCACACTGGAGGATTCTATGAAAAAAAAACACAATTTATTCAAACACTATAGTTAACATCCAACAAAAGGAAAGAATAGCTTAACCCTGTTGGAAAATTAACAGAACAATAGAATCACTAGCTATTGCTAACTAACTGTTCCAAAATAGTAACATCCCATAAACATATCCTTAGCAAAAGGCAAATTCAGAAAATAGGTTGTCACATGCAATCCAGCAGTCTAGGAAGAGACCCTCACTTTTTGACTGTAATCAAGAGAGGGGAAAAATAGCTTCCAATTCTTCAAGATCCCCAACAACTGCTGCTGAAAACTAAAAATCCCTGGTTCTGTGGGTGGGAGCTTGACCACACCCATTCAAGCTGCTTCTATTGTTCCAGCTTTTTTAAAACAATATCCAAACTTCAAAAGTTGTTTATATTCTCATAGACTCCAGACACCTGTCCCCCCATCTCTCTCTCTCTAAAAGAAACCAGGACAAAACACACCTTGTAGCTACCAATAGTGGGGCAATCAAAATTTGTGATGCATGCGGGTGAGAATTGGAAGAGAGCAGAAATTTCAGAGTACGGTTAGCATTTCTTCTGGATCGGTGTGAAGTATTAAGGACTTGAAGATTAATTTCCAGCAGCTCTAAAGTGCAATCAATCTTCTTTTATTATTTTCTTTGAGCATTTCTCTTGATGTAAAATGTGGCACACTGGAACTGTCCCTACCTCTGAGCCAGGATGCCTGGGTTCAAGTCCAGAGTTGTGTCATAACGTTGTTGAACTGGTCGATTAGGAAATATCTATAAACATGTTGAAAACTGGGTGGGGGAGACTGTTGATCAAACAGCACCCATCCAGATAATGGATCTTAAGAATCATAAAATCCCTACGATGTGGAAGCCGGCCATTCAGCCCATACCAACTCTCTGGAGAGCATCTCACCCCTCTTCCTGTAACACTGCATTTACCGTGGGTTAATCCACCTAATCTACACATCCCAGACACCGTGGGCAGTTTAGCATAGCCAATCTGCACATCTTTGGGACTGTGGGAGGAAACCAGAGCACCCGAAAGAAACTCACACAGACACAGGAAGAACATGCAAGCTCCATACAGGCAGTTGCCCGAGGGTGGGATTGAACCTGTGTCCCTGGTGCTGTGCAGCAGCAGTGCTGACTGCTGAGCCACCGTGCCACCCACGTTGCTTTCTGATTGGCTGGTGTTATAAGTGAGCTCCCAGTACTCCCTCCCAAACATCCCTGTGGGATCATCACCAACATATGGGAGCAGCGGTTCAATAGATATGTTGCATTTCCACTTTCTCGAGGACAATTAAGGACCAACAATAAATGCCATTCTGCATCCTGAAAATTATTTTTTTTAAAACGTAGCCAATTCATGCACAGCAAGATCCCATAACGAACGCATACTTGGCTGACGAGTGTGAATGTTTATGATGGAGACATTTGAGTAGCAAATCGAAACCGGAAGTAGCTGGAGAAACTCAGCAGGTCTGGCAGCATCCATGCAGAGAGAGCAGAGTTATGTTTCAGGTCCGATGACCCTCCTTCAGAACCACTCTGTTTCTCTCGCCAGAGGTGCTGCCGGACCTGCTGGGTTTCTCCAGCAGTTTTCCTGGTTCTGTTTCAGATTTCCAGCATCCACGTTTCTTCATTTTTGATTGAGGAGCCAATGTTGGTCACGGCAACAGCACAACCCCACTCCCCGCCCCATATCGGACCCTCAAATCCAGGCAGGCAGATGGCACCTCAGTTTAATTCTCAGACAAAGGGCAGCACCTCCAACAATGCTGCACTGAAGTGTTGGATGTA